AAACCATTTAGGAATATTAAGTTCCTCGCACTATTAAGAGTACGATTATAATTAACGTACTGCTTAAGAGTACGTTTATAACATAGAGTCTAATGTGGAGGCCCGGCTTATTACATCATGAGAACGCGTGTTCCATGCCCACTCAACCGAATCAAGATAACGCCGAATCATCCCTGGATCTGGGAATGAGGTGTCCGACAACGGATTGTTGTCAAGGTAAACCTGTCTGGAATCTACATGGAATCGATCTCCTGTTCGTACGCAAATTAATATTGCTCTTTTTCTGCTGCCCTTGATGAAGGTTGCAGGCGGTTAACCTTGAACTTCACTGAATGTCGGCTGACTCGCTGGGAAAACAAGTTATCGCGCAAGTCCTTCGTGTTACTACCCTGGTCCTGCGTGTTATAACTCTGGTCCCTTGCCGACTCCCGGGAAGACCTATGGGATAGGCGAGAAGAACTCTGATGATTCACTGGAACCCGGTTAGCTCCTATCGATCGATGACGACGGTCCTCAAACGTCTCCCTTTCCTGACCACGATCCTTATCTTCATTAGATTGCTCACATCCATGATGGCAATCCTGACTACATTTTTTACCCAAGTCGCGCCGTCACGTCCCTGTCCAGCGAATATTCCAGAAGTACCACCGTTGTCGTGTTTGTTCCGGTAATTTGGACGGATTGGCATGGTATTTCCTCAGCGCCTTTACACACCATGACGGGTAGTCGGACTCCTGTCCTGATACTTGCTGCTGGTGATGGACTGGATGGACGGTTGGGATCACTGGCATAGGAATGTTCATAGGACGCCCGGATCCATTAGCCTGTTCAGCCGCATTCAAAAGACTGACATGTGGAAGTGCGTACATACCCTGCACCTGCTGCACTGGGTGTAGTAGCGAATCAATCTGGTAAATGATAGACGTTGTCACGAACTGCGACATCTTATTCAACATAGCCAAATTTAGGCAAGTACCACTCATGGTGTCCTGGTTCATACCGCAAGCCTGGTGATGCAGATCCGTGGATAGTGCCGAATGAAACATATGGGTAGCCGGACCAAACGATCGATAACAATACGTTCCACATCCCAAGTTTACGTGAACCCTCAGCAGAACATGTTGGCCAACATACTTGTAGATGTGCCCCAGCTGCGACTGATTAAGACTCGTGTCGAATTGCCTCCCCTGATCTTAGTAAACTGGGGTAGCGTTTTCATTGCCCACCACTTCGTCATCCAGACTCCGACTGGGTTAAAATTATACCCATCGTAAACCGGCAGGTAGAAACTATTTGGTTCAAGCATCTTGTCGTTTCTTTCGATTAAAATCAGATATCAATTTATTGATTTCGTCTCCAAGGTCTGAGCTAAGTTTAGTTGTAGTCTGAACTTCACACTACGGTTTATTTGACTTATTAAAAAACTAAACTATAGGGATAATAATATTTATTTCAAAGGA